TTTATTAATTTACCCAATTTAAGCTGAATTTTCCTTAACTTTAGGATTAAAAACCACTTAAATATTATTGTAAAATATTTTTTTTTGAGATTTTAAGGATATTAAAATATACTACATACAAGTGGAATATTAGATGTATGCCATAATCAAAGTCAAAATGGTATTCCTATTCTGCCCTATAAAATAACGAGGGTAAGTCTTTGTCATTTGGAAGGATTCCAGAAAGAAAACTATTCGTGGAGTTATTTACTAATCCTTTTTACCTTTTTGATTTCTCCTAAACATAATCATGAACAATGAATTCTGAATTTTTTTAATCTATTATTCTTTCTCATTTGTTAGCAACATTTGCTTTATGTGAGGATAAAGTAAGATAAATACTGTTTAAAAAATAATACAAAAACATGGATACATGAAAATTTTCTAAAATCAATAAATTGCTGCAATGTTCAAGAACAGCAATATTTGAAAAAGAAGACATGGGTCATCCCATATCAGAAAGGTGACCAATTTATCTACTGTACATCTTGTTCATAATGAGACATTGAACCTTTGTGTTGCTTGATAGGAAAGAGAAGAAATGCCAAAATTTTGGCAAGACAATACCCGTGGCAATCAAAATCCTTGTTTCATCTCATAACAAGGAATCTCATTGACACTTTCATATTTTTCGATATAGAACATACAAGTGAAGCAAAAAGAACAAGCACTTGCAACCCAATCGGAAACATTGAAACAACCGAGAATCTAGGGAGGATCAGTGTACACAAACTTATCCAAACAAATAAGAAGTCAATGGAGAATCTGGTCCTATGGGATCACAAAGTCAAACTTTGAGTTATTGTGCTAAATATAACAAATTCATAGATAGTAGCCAATATTTGGGCAAAAAATGTCTAACTTCAGGCTTTTTAGGCAGTTTTTTCAGGAACAACACCAATGGCTACTTTTGACATGGACAGTTTAAGGACATATTCGTTTCTTTTATTGGAGTGCTTTGATTGGTATTTGCTAGAATTGGATGGTGAGTTCCTCAAGTCTCCTCCCCTTCAAACCTTTAAATTAGTTTTGCTGCACTAGTTCATGTATAGCTTTCTCCCCCTCTTCCTCTATTCTTCTTCTTTCTTCTTCTGCTCATTATATTCTTTCTCCATGATCAGGAGATGTGTCAAACTTCATCAGATTATCTTCCCAACATCATACCCTGAAATGATCAGGAGTTGTGTCAAGACCTCACTCAGGCTCTTGACCCAAAGGAATCACCACAGCAATGCATCTTCGTTTGCATGGGAAAAACCTTGCTCCGGGTGGATCAAGTTGAACTTTGACGGAGCTTCCAAGTGCAAATTCAGCAACGCCAGGTGTGCCGGGACCACGAAGGGCTGTTCATGCTGGGATACGCTGAATGCATTGGGGGGGCGACGAGCTCCGTTGCAGAGTTAGCTGCTTGCAAACGAGGCCTCAAGCTGGCCTTGCAGAATGGGTGGCACAGTATCTGGATCGAAGGCAATGCAAAGACGGTGGTGGATGTTTTCATGAACGAGGTGTGATTGAAGTCCAAGGAAGATCTAAGAATTGTGAGAGAGATTAGGGTGCTGATTCCACAGCTGAATGCATTCAGTGTATCCCATATATACAGGCAAGGGAACAGAGTTGCTCATGAGTTTGCCAAGCTGGGATACCGATATCAAAAGCCACAAATTTAGCGTGACATTCCCCCCAATGAAGTACAGCGACTTCTTCACCATGATGCTGAAGCTAAAGCCATTATTCTTAAGAAGTAGATTTCTCTAAAGATGCTTCCTGCATTTCAGTAAGATTAGTCTTGAGTCAAACTCGGTCGAGACCATCACATTAGAGATTGAACACTAATGTAAAACAAAAGTAACTTAAAAGCTTAAGCTGTTAAGCTATGGGTGAAATTTTAATCATTTAGCTTTTTCAACCCTTTCAATATATGGCCGTGATTTAATTTTCTTTCAATCTTCATCTTATACATAAATATTTTCCTAACATCTACTTGTTCATGTGTGAATTCATCTATCTTCCCCTTATCCATAGGTTTTAAGTCAATTATGATTTGACATATTATCTGGCTCACTTTGCTACAATTAACATATAAATTTATTTTACTCATTTCTTTTATCAATCTTGGGTCTGATGAGTTTGAGCCAAACTAGGTCAAGACTACCATATATGAGATCGGATACTAATGAGAACAATGTGCTATTAAGTTATAACTCAAACATAACTAAATATTACCCATTTCTTCAAACCCTTAGAAATGTGAAACTATTATTTAGTCTTTATCCAATCTTTATCTCACATATGAATATTTTTCTAATAGTATATTACCTAGTTGAAGAGGATGCAATGCCTTCAAGAGAATCCTGCTTCCAAAGAGTTTACTTGAGATTTTGAACTTAGTTAAAATCAAACAAAACTTACAAGGGGTAATTCAATAGATTTTTAAGCACTTATGCAACCTCTATTGCATTGTGCTTTAGTAGATTAGATTTCGAATGCTACTACTCAAACACCTCAATGCCATAGATCTTCCAATCATATCTGTCTACAAGTGTGTATGGGAAGGTATTGAAAAGTTCCATGTGCAAGAAATCTCACCTACCATCATGATCATTATATCCACCACCACCAAATGCTGCCAGGAGCATTACTCTTAACAAAAAATTACAGTCATCTCCACTGCTGATATTTTCACCACCATAAGCATAAATTCACATGTTAGTTGGACAAATAGAGGAGGGACAACTTTGAAATTTGAAATATTACACATTTTTATATTTTTTTATGGAGAATAAATTGGAAAACAAAGATGAAATTAAACGCATCCTAAATGCTTCTTGGGTATCATAAGCTATTACTCTAATCGAACCCTCTATCCCACACCAGCAAATCAGCATACCAGTCTTCTTACATAGCCAAGATGATTGTAGGTTTGCTCCCTGAGCAGAGAGGATATCAACCATGTGTTTCTAATGTGGCTTTTCCTTACAGATACAGAGATCCGTTTTCGATGTTTCTAATACATTTGATGAACCTGCTAACTTCAGTTCCTTTTGGAATAACCGGACAAGAAGACATTTTATCAAGAATCATCAATTTGTTAAGATATAAATCAATATATGATGTTTCATTTAATGACTAAAACTTTTAAATGAAATGATGATAGTAAAAAAATAGATATGGAATGTTCAAATCACATCTATGCATGCATTAAAAGGGAAAATGTGTATCTTTGACTCTCACGTGCTTTGTTTGAGTCAGTCTACCACCCTTATGTTAGGATGAGCATTAAGAATATAGCTCATAAAATCATGTCTCAAATACTGGATTAAATTTTTAGATGAAACAACAAATGTAGCTTAAGAGGCTTGAGAAAAAGAAAAAGATGAATCGTTACTAACCTGGCGAGTAAGTAAGAAGTCAGTCTTGACATGCTCTCTTTTCCATGTTCACATGATAGATCCAAAGAGCTCCCTCTTCTTCTGTTCGATGTGGTTTCTCTATTTTGCAATCGGCAAATTGCTTTCACCACGCTCCACTTTCCAATATATTCAGTAGCTTGCTTTCCTGTCCTTCAAGAAAAAGTATCAACTGCTAAGAACTGAAACCAGATCTCATTACTCTTTTTTTTTTTGGGTAGAAAAACTAGAAATATTTACTTTGTTCAAAAACCATAACTTTGCATGTAGAAGTCCCTCATCTGCTTCCAACTTTCTTCCACCAGGATAAGAGACATGCTGCTATAAAGTACTCGTGCACATCCATTAGTCCCACTTATGACTGCAACCTAGTCCCTTTGTTTAATGCACAAGGAGAGGCATGTTACCTGGTCTTCATCACTGAGAAATTGCACAAAAATCATGGACATGCCAGGACACCATATCTGCTTCCGCTCGCCAACAAACTACCTTTATCTTGGGTTAGTAATTTGAGTCAAATGGTTCGATCCTCCTAGGTCATGGCAGTCTTAGCTGCATTTCCTCAAACAAATGAAGTGCTGCATTTCTTCAAACAACTTGAAGCCCAACTCCGCCTGACCACACACACGACAGACACAGGTATAAATGAAGTGCTGCATTTCCTCGAACGACTTCAAGTCCAACCCTACCTGACCACACACGACATACATATATATCATTGAGGTGCCACATTTCCTCGAACACCTTCGAGGCCAACCCCACCTGACCACACGGCATAAATGTTAAGGTGCCTCGAACACCTTCAAGCCCAACTCTCACTCGACCACACATGGCGCACATTTTTATCAATGAAGCGCCACATTTCCTCGAATAAATTCAAGCCCAACGCCACCTGACCACAGACGGCATACATATTTATCGATGCAGTGACGCAAGCATATCAATCAAGAGTCCTGGAGAACACAGTCATCTTGATGCCGTTGCTCCTCAAGTGGCCATGGCAGCGCTTCCCCTGCCCCAAGGGCCCTCCACAGAACGAGGTTGCGCCCCACGCTGCCGCGCACAAACATGCGGTTACTTCCCTGAGTGGGTAAATGACGGCACTTTGACTTCACAAGTCAAACGGCTCCACCAGGCCATTAATGACGCCACAACCCTCACCGACTGGTCACTCTGCGGTGATCTTACCACGACCTTATAATATCATCATTAATGATATTAATAATGTACATTATATCGTTATCGAACAGAAATCTTTAAAAATCTATCATGCAAAATCTTCTTGCCGATATAGAATTTATATTCGGTCAGACTAATTTTTGTGGCTTGGATTTTGATCTTTCATATGAATTGTTTTTAAATTTCATAATAATTATTCTCAATACAAAAGATCAATTTTTAGTAATTTGAATTTCGGTCAATGCAACCTTATTTTAATAAAATATTATTTTTTTAAAAATTGTCAAATAATAATGAATAAAATACTGAAACACAGGGGTAAGTCAAGAAGACGGTGATTGGATCTGGCTGACCAATAACTATGCCGGTGCCTCCGCAGCCATCCACCCACCGAGTCTCTCTCAGTCTCTCGCTCTCTTAAAAGAAGGTTACCGGACTCCAAAACTGACCGTTGAGCTTACGAAGCCCAGCGCAGTGGCTTCTTTTCCGTACCCCCGGTGGCGCGATTCATACCTCTGCGATCTGGTCCCCCGCCGGCGATTGAGAAGGAGCAGGACTCTGGTAGCCGATCTGGGAGGTGTTCGCCATGGCGTTAGCCGAAGTCAAGGCGGGGACGGAGGGGAAGGGGTGGGGGATTTTCCGGCTGCCTTTCTTCGGCGGCGGGGGCGGAGGTGGAGGAGGTGATGGAGGATCGTCGTCCAACTCTTCGTCGACGTTCATTTTGACGCATAACCACCATTACCGATCGTCGGGGCAGGTGGAGGGAGGGGCCGCGGCGGCGCAGGCCGGAAGGCGCAGCTCCGGCGCCAGCTCGGTCTCGTCGGTTGCCAGGTCGCTGCTGCCCACCAGACGCCGCCTTCGGCTCGATCCGCCCACCAAGCTCTACTTCCCTTGTGAGTGCTTGCTCTGGTAACTATTTCATGGGTCCTTGTTGTCGGATTTTTCAATCTTTTTTCGTTAGATCTCGTTTGAAGCTTAGAAAGGAGTGATCTTTTTCTCTTTTTTATTGGGTGTTCGCGGATCTCGAGACTTTCTGGGGGCTGAATTGGCCAAAAATTGTGGCTTTTGCTTCTGATTTGGGCCCTTCTTTCTCGTAAAAGTACTTTTGGTGGCTACTGTTTAAATTTAGGTAATAAAAGGTGGATTAACTTCTAAATTTGTAGATTTGTTCTTTCGATCCATTATCTCAGATGCGAGTTATGGAGACTCAAAGTACCCTAACTTTGGGTCTCTTTCTATGGATCGTAATACAATTTAGACATATTACACCATTAAATTCTGTAGTTTTACAGCAAAGTTGTTTTCTTTTTCTCTCCTGGGATACCAATTTCTGATTGTTATAGCCATTTGCTAATTCTTATGATCTGTTGTTATAATATTAATTGCTGTAATATTAGGCTTCCTTTTCTGTCTCTCGTTAACCTTGGTTGTTATAGAATGATTCAGTTGCTTAGGTTTGGGTTTTGACGTTTGCTTCTTTCCCCTAAAACTTTATGCCTGATTACCTGACAAAAGGTTCTTTAATGTGTTCAAGTAAAGAGATTGTAGTATGGTTTTCTACCGTTGGATATTAGTCAATAAGGTTGCTCCTTTTTTCTTGTCTGTGTTATGCTTTTGAGTATTGTTTTTTTTTCCTTATGTTATTCTAATGTCTTCTTGTTTGGCCAACAAAAACTGTTATGGTCTAATGAAATTAAATATAGCTTCTGCTTCTAGTTTGAGAATTCTTTTTGAGAAGCTGTCTGTCAGAGAATATATGCCGGGTTGTTCTGTGATTAACCTTCTAGTTTATATGGTTTCTTTGTTGAAGATGAACCTGGAAAACAGGTGCGAAGTGCAATCAGGATTAAGAACACCAGCAAGTCGCATGTGGCATTTAAGGTGTGTGCGATCTTTCATCTTATTCTAGCTATTACCTGTTTTCTGACTTATTTCTAAGTAGTAATACACAGTCTTCAGCTTAATATATGTTGTAATAATTAATTCTTCTAAAAGATTTTTTATGTTTTTCATTGAGCATGATGTTTCTGTTTGAAATATCAACTAAAGTTACAATGGCCTACCTTTTTCCATGTTTCTTTTACTTTTTCTAAAATATTCTTGGGCAAATTTTGATTATTCTAAGTGGATTTAGTTTCAAACAACTGCACCTAA